GTCCTGGTTTAGACCCGGTTTAGACCTAGTTTAGACCCAGTTTAGACCTGATTTTAGTCCTGGTTTAGACCCGGTTTAGACCTGGTTTAGACCTGGTTTTAGTCCTGGTTTTAGTCCTGGTTTAGATCTGGTTCTAGTCTTGGTTTAGTCCTGGTTTAGACCCGGTTTAGACCTGGTTTAGACCTGGTTTTAGTCCTGGTTTTAGTCCTGGTTTAGATCTGGTTCTAGTCTTGGTTTAGTCCTGGTTTAGACCCAGTTTAGACCTGGTTTAGACCTGGTTTTAGTCCTGGTTTTAGTCCTGTTTATATCTGGTTCTAGTCTTGGTTTAGTCCTGGTTTAGACCTGGTTTAGATCTGGTTCTAGTCTTGGTTTAGTCCTGGTTTAGACCCGGTTTAGACCTGGTTTAGACCTGGTTTTAGTCCTGGTGTGGATCAGATTTAGTTCTGATTTTAGTCCTGGTTTAGACCTGGTTTAGACCTGGTTTAGTCCTGGTTTAGACCTGGTTTAGACCTGGTTTAGTCCTGGTTTAGACCTGGTTTAGTCCCGGTTTTAGACCTGGTTTAGTCCTGGTTTAGACCTGGTTTAGTCCGGTTTAGTCCTGGTTTTAGACCTGGTTTAGACCTGGTTTAGTTTAGACCTGGTTTAGTCCTGGTTTATGTTCTGTTTGAATCTCTTCATTTTCCCGCTCATCACATTTACTTCAGTGGGTTTTATCACAGTCGGTCGGTGAGTTCAGTGTCTTGAACGACACCGGAAGTCGTCATCGCGTGTTTCCAAACGTGTTCCCGGTTTGTGACGAAATCGTGAATAGAACCAATTTGCAGTTAACGAAAAAACCCAACTCCAGGTGCGTTTGTGACGAGGAAACGACATCAGAACATAAATCAGAAAACAGCGTAACATGGCCCTTTAAACTTTAATCTCTTTATTTATTTATTTTGCAGACATAATGTGGATCAGATTAAGTCTTGAGTATTGATCGATGTGAGCTGAGAGGCTGGTTTCCTGTGCGCTGAAAATGAGAGCGGACGCTGTAAAAAGCTCTAACTACATCCATTCTTCACTGCGGAAATTAAAGGGCCCATATTAGGCTTTTTTTCTGATCATAAACAGACGTGGAGTTGTGTTTTGTTGTTTTTTTTGGAAGTGCTCCACTGTGTTTTTAAACTCCACGCACCTTCACTAGAATCATTTGGATCATTTCAGCTCTGGAGTCGCTGATCTCTACTCAAAAACGACAGCTTCATGACATCACAAGGCGGAACGGAGCGATTTGAGCTTTGGAGACGCAGACAGACTAATAATAAAAAGTTACTCGAACATGTGAATGAAACAAAACACAACTGCAGGTCTGTTTTTGAGGAGAAAACTAAAGACTCAACCAAGTTATCATGGAGCGATACCCAATCCAGCAAATTTTTCAAGATCAGCGTCGATCTTCGATTCCAGTATCGGTATCGGTGCATCCTTAATCACAATTGCAATGTTTTTCCCAAATCATTTAGCCTTACTTTCCAAATAAAATACAATACAAAAACATAAAAGACAATTTGTATTAAAAAAAAAAATCATTATGACCCATATTTAGCTAAATTAATTTCAAGCAATTTTCACTTTTGAGTTGGAATAAAACTTGGCGAGAAGAAAATTCAGTTTGTCGACTGGACAGAAGTTAGTTTGGTTGACGACGTTTCGCAGCTCATCCAGACTGCTTCTTCAGTTCTGGTCAGACGCTGGTGGACACTTCCTTATATCAAGAGAATCCTTCCCTAAACAGAAACGGAGACTAAGGCTACGTTCAGACTGCAGGACTTAACGCTCAATTTCAATTTTTTTGTGAAATCCGATGTTTTTTCGAGGTCGTTCACATTTCCAGTTAAATGTGACTTGTATGTGACTCCAGTGTGAACATTAAACGGCCCAAAAGTGTCCCGCATGTGACACTGGAGACACGACGACGTCCGCAGCGATGTTGTCCAAACATGGACGCAGCATCGAGCACCTGGAGATTTTAAAGTTCCTCTCGTACCGGAGCCAGAACATGAACAACTTACTTGTTTTAAGGAGGAGATTGAGAAGGAGAAGGACGAGGTTTTTGGTCGTGGTGTTTTGTGGGACAGCGGCAGCGACGTCCGTTGAAAGGAACGTGTGGATGTGGAGACGGAGCCAAGAGTGGTGAGTGGTGATGTGCTTCACTTCAGTGACATGGAGTTCATTAACAATTTTCACCTACTTCAGCGCAGAATAGTGACGTTTGTGTCTTGTTGATAACGTGTAGGTGGATGAATGCACTTTGGCCGTTCACACTGAAGTCACATGTCAAAAGATCAGATATGTATCAGTTTCAGGAGCACATATCCAAGTGTCCTGGGTCACATTTGAAAAAAATCAGATCTGTGTCGTTCAGACTGTCAATAAAAGATCAGATACAGGAACATAGGGGCCAAAAAATTTGATTTGGGTCACTTCAGGCTGCAGTCTGAATCTCCTATTTACACGTCCATCCTCAAACCTAAATCAAAACAAACAAGAGAACAACAGGTGTATCCAGGTCAGGTCCAGAGGTGTGGAAGCTCCATTATGGACATGAATTGTTCTGTTAATTAGACCCCACACCCTGTACAGGTCAATAGGCCGAACTAACAAACAGAAACTGCAAACAAGTGTGTGTGTTAGTTTCAGAGGAGTTATTTAGATCCTCCCTGCAGACAGATATAAGGAAGTTTCCACCAGCGTCTGACCAGAACAGAAGAAGCAGCTTGGATGATCTGAAAAACGTCGTCAACCAAACTAACTTTTGTCCAGTCAACAAACTGAATTTCTCCTCACCACGTTTGAGGATGGAGTTGTAAATAAGAGATAGATGGTGTCTGAGGTCTCCATTTCTGTTTAGAGGAGGATTCTCTTTCTTAACTAAAATGGCTTCTTTCACTCCCCTCTCAAACCAATTCTTTTCTCTGGCTCAGATCTGTACCTCGCTGTCCTTAAATGAGTGGCCCGTGGCTTTTAAGTGGAGATGTACAGCAGACTGAGGTCCTGTGTTGCTCTCTCGTCTGTGTTGGTTCATCCTCTTGTGAAGTGTCTGTTTAGTTTCTCCAGTGTAGCGTTCACTTCAGTCTTCACTACACTGAATGGAGTGGACCACATTGCTTGGAATAAAACTATTAGAAAGTCACTTTTTAGTGCAGCACACAACAAACAACAACTAGCTCCAAAAGGCGGAGGAAATTTTAGTGGAAGTGTCTTATATGATTCTTTATTATTGCCCAAATTACTGCTAGAGAACAAGAGTTTGATTGTCATTGTTGGAGACAGTGTGGCCACTCAAACATCAATCACTCTCAGATTTTTTGGACATGTACAAAATGTATGTCATTCTAGGACAGTGTGTGTTTGGAAAAATAGATACGATCTTGACTTATGTTGTCCCCAAGGACCCAAAGATATTTTTGTTTTGTCTGCCTGGAGAGGCGATCGAAAAAGCGGACAGATACCTTTTTAAGATTCTGACACTGGCGTCAAAAAAAGCAATAACAAGAAGTTGGCTTTAAAAGGACCCACCACCAGTGAATGAGTGCTTAGGCATAATAAAAGAAATATATTCCATGGAACGACTGACTTTTTTTCTACGACTCAAAGGACATTTCTTCATTAAATTATATTAAATTATAAACAAAAAGAGACTTGACTTCTACTTCCTTATTACAATGGAACAGTGCCCCAAGCTTTGTATTTGTTTGTTTGTTATACAAAACGTAAAGGTTGTATAGAGGATTTTCCAAGGAACGAGAAATCCAGCGGCTGTTTGTCCTTTTTCAAATGTTGCGCATGTGTGAAACCACCTCCCCTCCCCTACAGCTCCTACGTAGAAACGCCTCCTCCCTCCTCCTCCTTACGCCAGAAACAGGTTTGTTTACAGCCGGTGAACTGCACATGACTTGTAAACAACTAACTACAGTGTTGGTTAGACAAGAGAGCGGAGAAGTGAGAGAGAGGAGCAGGGGAAGAGTGGATCGGGCAGCGGGGAGAGGAGCAGGAAAGGGGTGCAGAGAAGGTTGCGCGGAGATTCAGTGTGAATGAACTAGCTACAACACGCAGCAGCAAGCGGACTCTTTCTTTGCCTTGAAAATTACGTTTTCAGACATAGGATATCACTTTCGTGTCCTGAAAAACGTTTGTGTAGCTCTTGGAAATAAAGTACGTTTTCATAATAAGCAGAAGTTTCCTGTCCAGGAGTAATTTGTGGACCAGTGGTTCAGTCTTTAGACCCTTCGTCTGCTTCAGTCGCGCCATCGCTGGAATGAATCTTCAAGAATCACCTTAGTTTGGCTTCGCTGCTTTTCCCCTTGTCTTCTTCTTTCAGCGACCTCAAAAACAGACTTTCTTTTGCGGCGAACTGCTCCTGGATTCTTGTCGCCATTGCAACAAACTTTGTGCGAACTGCGAGGAAGATATAGGTCAAAAAAAGCCGCTAAGAACTGTTGTGTTGGTGGAGTAAACAGCGTCTGTGCGTCTGTGGACTGTGTGACAGTCGTACGTAAACCACGTACCGGCGGCGCAGGCAAGTCAGTTACACTAGAAACGTAGGGAGTTTGATTGACAGCCTGTCAGCTCACAGATAACGAGGCAGTGTCGTTATTTATTGGCAAATGTTTAGCCCCACCACGTCCAGAGTTGATGAATTTTTATTCTCTTTTTTTTGGTCATCATAATTACAAGGCGACTGCATCTTTATAATCTATCATTGACAATTTGAAACCAAAAAAAAATCCTCCATACAAACTTTAAGTAAACTTAAGTAAAAAAAAAAAAAAAAGTTAGGAAACCATGTCCCTCATTTTTAAATATTACTGCCTAATTGTTCGAGTTTACAGTGTAGTATTTTTAACCGTTTAACTTTTAACCATTCATTGTATTCAGAATACTGTGGTCGACCGGCAGGGACAGACAGGTGAAGTACACAGAATCATTTTTTTTGTGTGTAATTTTCTGTGTTTCAGTGTCTCAGATGGTGATCGAGGAGGTGAGCGTCCTTCAGACCCAACTGGAGATCGAGAAGTCGTGCAGAGAGAACGCAGAGGCTCTGGCCACAAAGGTCTCACCAACTTATTATGTTTTTATTAAAGGTGCACTGCGTAACATTTCTAGCAGAGGGTCCGTCACCTGCTTGTTTAATTCACACACGCTCTCGTAAATGTTCAAAATACAAATAATAATATTCTTATTTCTCTCTCTTCAGCTGAACAGTGAGAACAGGAAGCTCAAGTACCTGAGTTTGTCCTCGCGCCCATGTTTGGACGAGTTCCTGCCCAGCATCTCCGACTGCATCGTCACGGAAACGGAGACGGACGCCATGGAGACGGACGGCGGCCATGACACCTTTGCACAGTATCAGCAACAAGTCAAAGGTAAAACGGAGAGAAAATATTGATATTATTATATATGTGTGCAATTTAACCTTTAACTTTTGCATAGAATGTGTAAATAAATCTACAAGAAATAAAGTAGTAAAAGTAGTAGTAGTAGTAGTTTTAAGGGAAATTTCAGAACTTTTGTGTTGAGAAATATTTTTATTTTTACAGTTTCAACAACATCAAATCTATGTTCAGAATATTTTAAAAACATCAGTACAATCTTCAAAAAATAATTGCGACAGAGAATGGTATTAGGGATATAACAGATTTTTTTTGTTTTTTTTTGTTTTTTATATGGTTTGAGCCCTTTACTAAGTTGTACCTTTTACCTTATACTTTTTTAGTTTGTTTATTATTTTTCCTTTTGCCTCTTGAGTCTGAAGCCTGACTGATAAATAAATAAATTAAAGGTGCACTGTGTAACTTTTCTGGTGGAGGGTTGTCTCCATGGTGATGTCTTTGCTTTACCTGGGATTTTCCACAGTAAGACATTCAACAAATATATTGTGTTTGTCTGTTTGTGTTCATTTACAGGTGTTTTTATTTCTCAAAACTACTGCAAAACATGTATTATTACTGTGAGCGGGTCTACTTCTCCACAGATCTGACCTGTAACTTGGCCGGGTCGTGTGGGCTGCTTGTCTCCTTGGAAACAGTTAAATTAAAAGCCATACTGTAGAACATTTTAGGAAAAAAAACAACAACGTGGAGTCAAGCAAGTGGTGGACCCTCTACCTAAAATGTTACACAGTGTTCCTTTAATAATAATATATTTTTTAAAAAGTTCTCTTTAAAAGTGCGTTGTAGAAGGTTAAATCTTTAGTGTGTTTGTGCGCAGAGCTGAGGGAGACGGTGAACAGTCTGCTGGAGGAGAAGAAAACTTTAGTGTGTCAAGTCCACGAGCAGCAGAGACTCATCACAGAACTCACCACACAGGTACAGACAGTGTTGTGGAGTAACAGATTACATGTACCGGAGTTACGTAATCAGAGTACAAATGATGAGTAACTGTATTCAGTTACAGTTACTGTTTCAGTGAGTGGTAATTGGATTACAGTTACTTTGTTGAAATAAATGGATTACACAGAGGTAGTTTCCTGTTTTCACATTTTTCTTTTTTTTTTCTTTTCGGTAATTCCACTCATTGCCGGACACTAAACCAGGATTAAAACCAGGTCTAAACTATGTCTCAAACAGGATTTAACAGGACTAAATCCTGCTGTGTGGACGTGTCTCCTCGTCTTCTATCAATAATATTTTTTATTTGGTTCAGTAAAGTCTGGGCTTTTCATTTTCTTTTATCAGACAAAACATCTTATGTTACGATTCCCTCGTCTTTGTTTCTCTACAGCAAATCAAGTAATCCAAAGTATTCAGATTACATTACTCACTTTAAATAATTTAATGGATTACGTTACAAACTACATTTTGGTGTGTGTAATCTGTAATCTGTAGGGGATTACATTTTAAAAGTGACCCTCCCAACACCGGGTATGGCTTATGCTAACGCTAACGCTAACAATAATACATGCATCACGAATTTCAGACTTCAGGTCATCGCACAATTCACACTGGGAAGGATTTTCCAAAAAAGTGAGCATCAAACCTCCATGTTTGTTTTCCCAGTGGGATGTGTCTATTGTCAAAGTCGATCTTTTCAAGTCTTTTGAACCATATCACTTTTGTTTCTGGTTCTGATATTGTCATATTTTAGTTTTGGGATTCGGACATCGATAATCGTGTGGTTGTTGGATCCTGACAGCGAAAAACGGCTCGAGAAATTTGTTTGCGAACTCCATAAATGCAAAAGTGAATCAGATGTGTGTGACTCAAACCTCCGTTCAAACTGTTTCTCTTCCCAACGGAATTGAAAAATAGTGAAAGGTGAAGGCGACGGGCAGGATTGATCCACAGGAAGAACCAAAAAGGAAAACTTTGACTGACTAAATCATCCCGAGTTTGCAGTGAACATTTTGTATGTGGAGCGACGACAAAACAAAATCCCGTTTGTTAAGTGAAAGGTGCAGAAGACAAACAGACTGAGCTGCACTTTCTTGTTCTTGTGGTTTTACAGCAACATCACGTCTTGGTCTCTTTGCAGCGGAAGGTGTTTCTTGGTGAACAGTTGGTGCCTTTCGCTTTAACGTTAACTTTTTAAATTCATAACCGAGGTTGAGCGAGGGATCGGGATTTGTTGGCAATGCGCACCGACGCGTTTGTGGTTTGACGGGAAGCGAGAGACGAGGGAATGAAGAGAAAGAAACAGACGTGATGAAGGAGCGAACAGACAGAACCCGTAATCATCCTCCGAGTCCAAACCAACGTCTGTCTGTCTGTAAAAGCTGCACTGCTCCTCGCAACAGACACACGTGCAACATCATTTGAATGAAATAATATAATCCAGGCTTTGGCTTGAGCTCGCTTCCTGGAATACTCCCTGTGGTCTGTTTGTGATGAGGAAACAACATTAGAACAGAGATTAGAAGTTGGCATAATATTGTCCCTTTATGGATTGGCAAAATTACAATATTATTTAAAATTAGGTTAGGTTAAGTCGCTTTATTCATACCTGTAGGTAAATTTGCTTTGCAGATTTGAGAGGCAGGTTCCACATTTCACATTTCATTCATCCACAAAACACACATAAAATCACAATTACAAAATAAAGTGTTACAGATGCTCCAGTGCAGAATGGATTGTTCCATAAACAACCAATTAAATTCATCCATCACGCTTGGCTAAAATCACAATAAATCTTAAATATGTTAAAAAACACACAATCTTAGATAAATAGATTACAATTTATTCATAAGTACGACAGCAGCCGGAATGAAGCTCCTTTTTCTATTTCAAAAAAATGTCTATTATCAGGTAATTCTCAAATTTAACATCACCATCGAACCAATGCAAATAGAGACTTTTAAAATTCAATTCAATCACTTGATTTATTCCTGAGGGGCACTTAAAGGGCCCGCAGAGGAGCAGAGTTACATAATAAAAGGTGCACTTAAAATCAATCATAAGAAGCGTGCGCAGAGTTAAGAACCGTGCTCACGTTAAAGTGCCGAGATGTTACAGTGATGGAGAGAGCGTGGGAGTGAGGAGCTGAAGTGTTCTTGAATCAGGCCCCACTTGAAGACAGAGTCCAAACTGTGTGATAATGTGTTAATAAAAACATGTGACTGTCCCGACCCCAGACGCAGAGGGACCAGACCGAGATCTCAGAGCTCAGAGAGACCGTGGAGAGTCAGAAGAAAACCATCAAGAGGTTCAACAGAGGTCGGTCACTGTCTACGAGAAGATAACTCCACTTTTTTATATGTGACACTTTCTAAACCTTTGTGTTGTGTTTTGTTGTTCAGTGTCTGTGATGGCGGCGCAGGAGTTCGAGGAGGTGAAGGAGCAGCTGGACCTGGAGCAGAGCCTCAGAGTCAAAGCTGAAGACTACGCACACGAGGTACAAACATGTTTGACTTTGCCGCAGTCGTCGTTGTTTATGTAACAGGCAATCTGCAAATAACTCGCTGTAAATACCAAACTGCAGACAGTGAAACTCCGACGTTAACCATGAGACATATGTATCTGTTGAATACATTTTTATATCAGATGCATTAACTTGAATTTTTGGCCTTGCTGTTTACTTCTGCTTGACCGGGTCCATAAGAAAACCAAAATGTATGACTTGCTTAGGATTCTGCGTGAACTGTTTTGTAAATTTTCAATAGAAGTCCCAGTACAGACATACTGTAAAACAGAGGTGCTCACACTTTTTCAGCATGCGAGTTACTTACAAAATGACCAAGTCATAATGATCTACCTAAAGCCAAGCAAACTGCACTGAAACACTCTGTGCCCCTTTTTTGGACCCTCACCCACAGTTTGAGAACCTCTTCTTTAAGAGAACTTCCTCTGGCACTTTACACAAAACTGTGAAAAAAGTGAAGGAAGATTTTTAAACCTGTTTTTTAAAGTTCCAAACTGGAGTTACATTCTTTTGTGGTTTTGCAGTGATATTTACCAGCCTCTGCACGTTTACCAAACCAAACGCACATCGTGACAAACACAGATGCATTTGTCACTTTTGTTAGACAAACTTCAGCCAAATGTGGCAGTAGGTCTGTTCTGTAGATCCGCTCTATGCTGTAGACCTGCTTTGTGCCAACACTGGAACACAAATTTAGACTGGTTTTTGCTCCACGTTTGGTCTTGCTCTTCCAATCAGCCGCACTGTGGGAGGGGCTTGTGTTCGCTGTACGCAGGAAGGAGCGAGAGCGTGAAAAGGCGAGGGGCGGCGTGCTGACGTGAGGCAGATGGACAGGTAGGATGTTTAGGAAGTTGAACCTGCCCTGTGATGCACGCTGGTACACGAGGGCACACGCTGTCGCAGACGAGCCGTGCGTAGGGAGCGTGTGTGTTTGTGATGCGCCGTAGAGTCTCCGCGGGTTTCAAATGAGCGCACAGGCCGCACTGAGACGCCCCACACGCTCCTGCACCCGCTACAAGTTTATTACCAACAGCAGCGGCCGTAATGAAATATGATCACACTTGTTGAGTGTCAGACCTCGAGTGAGAGACAAGACCGAGTCCAAACGCGAGTCCGAGACAAGACACGGCGATCTACCCACACGACCTTGGCGATCGACTGGTAGATCACGATCGACGTATTGAGCACCACTGCAAAAGGGTCAAAAAGAAAGCGCTGTGTCAGGAAACTGAGGATTAACTTTGGAGACTGTAAACTGTTTAAAATCACGTACAGCCCCTTTGTATGAGTTGTGTCGTGTCTGAATCCACACACTGATATTTGTGTGTGTTTGTGCAGATGTTGGTGAAGCAGAAGGAGGCGAATCGTCAGAGCATGGTCCTGATGCAGAGCTGTGAGCCCAGTGAGCAGCTCCTCAGAGCCCTGGACGACCTCGCTACTGCCACCAAGAGGCTGGAGGAGGAGAGGAGACAGCACCACACACAGGTACAGACTCCACATCTCCATCTGTATATTTCTGCGTAAACAGTTAATTTGCATAAGCTCAGACCTGGAGTTGTGTTTTGTTTCATTTACACATGTTTCAGTAACACTTTATTATTAGTCTGTTTACATCTCCAAAGCTCAAAATGCTCTGCTCCACCTTGTGACGTCGACAGCTCCTTTTATCTTTAGTTCAGTAGAGATTGGCAATTACAAGTTGGAACAGAGGTTTTTTTTACGTTTGAGAGAAGAACTCAGTCTAAATCTGCGGCGTTTGTGTGTTAAACTTGTGAGAATGAAACAAAACACAACTCTGGGTCTGTTTGTGATGAGGAAACAAAATTAGAACATAGATCAGGAAATCTTTTCTATGTCCCCTTTTTTAGTCAAACAATCGATCAGTGGGACATGTGTCTGAATGACTAGCACTCATGCCTCACAGCAAAAAGGTTCCAGGTTCGATCCCCGGGTCGCCTGGGCCTTTCTGTGTGGAGTTTGCATGTTTCTCCCTGTGTCTGGATGGGTTTCCTCTGGACGCTCCGGTTTCCCCCATCAACCCAAAACATGTTACAGAACAGTTGATAGTCAAGGTCAATTAAATATAATCAATCAATGAACCTGTCCAGGGCACTGGACTAGTGGCAAGACACTTCACCCACATTGCCTAGTATGAAAGTGGGGTGTGTGAGTGATGGTGGTGGTTGGATTGACCGTTGGCTGCGCCTCTGTCAGTCTGCCCCAGGGCAGCTGTGGCTACAACAGTAGTTTACCATCACCAGGTTTAGAGCGAATGAATAATGCTGAATAATGCTCTGTAAAGTGTCTTTGTGACAAAAATGTCTGTGAAAAGCGCTATATAAATGGAGACTTGTCTTTATACGGAAGCCCTGAGAGGCAAAGAGAGAGAAAAAAAAGAGGCAGGTCATTTGGGCTCTATTTTCTAAGTTTTTTTTTTTTTTTTCACCAACTCAAAAAAAAAAAAAAAAAAAATTCTACACAATTTTTTTTTCTCTTTTTTTTTTTCCCACCGTTGATATGGCTGATGAAGAAAAAAAAAAAAAGAGTTCAAGTGTTTTTCCAGTATATTCCTGTAAGTACCAAACTTTAGCTCATGGTGTTGGGACACAAGAGGCTGGGATTCAAAGCTCACCTGCTCCTCCTTACATTTTTTTTTTTTCTTCATCAGCCACATCAACGGTGAAAAAAAAAAAACAAGAGATTAAAAAAAAAAAAAAAAATTGTAGAATTTTTTTTTGTAGAAATTTGTAGGATTTTTTTATTTTTTATTTTTTTTTTAGGAAAAAAAATTGTAGGTAACTTTTGCCTCTCAGGGCTTCCGTATCTTTAGTCGAATTCAGTAAATATAAAATCGCAAAGACTTACCTAAATATACTTATACCTAAATTTCATGTACCACTTAGAAAGTACTTTTCCTGTCCTGTTAGAAAACTACAAGAAAACTACAAGAACAAACCACAAAACTAAAGACAAGAAGTTTTTTCTTTCTTGTTTCCTTTTACAGTGGTGAAAGAAATACTCCGTTAAATAAAAGTACAGATTCTGGAGCAAAAAACAAAAAAAATATACCCACATAAAAGTAAAAGCTCACATGAAAAAATCTACTTAAGTAACAGTATTAAGAGCGGATTTTGAGATCTAATAAAGCTTGAATGAATGATTATTTGGACAGTAATGCACAGAACATGCAGAGAAAACGTAATTACATAGATATAATACAAAAAATAAATATTTATTTTCCATAATAATAAACTAAATTGACACACAGATTTTACTTGTTTCTGAAAAAGGAGTGAGAGGAAGTAAATACTTAGCTTCAAATAGTAGTAGTGGTGATTTTGATACAGATTTGTGCTGAATTTTGTTCAACAGAAACAACTGTATGAATTATTTTCTGTTTTTATTTGTATATTTTTGTTTGCTCAAATTATGAAGATGTTAAAAATAAACCCTCAGCCTTTTCAGCACATCTCAAACTATAATAAAAAAAATACTTTTACTTTTCAGTTCTTTTTAAAAATGTAGTGCAGTAGAAAGTACAGATACCTGCTCTCAAATGTAGTGAAGTAAATGTAAAAAGTATCCTTGTTAAAATGTACATAAATAAAGTACAGATACTTTTGTTCCACCCCTGGTCTTTCATGGATTGTGGTTTGTGTTTTTGTGCTCAGGTGCAGCGTCTGGAGCAGCAGCTGGAGCAGAACGCTCTGCTGAAGCAGGTGGAGGCGCTGCAGAAACAGCTGCTCCTATTGGACGAGGAGAAGAAGGAGGCGGAGTCACGGCTGGAGCAGGAAGTGAGGAGGAGCGCCGAGCTGCAGCACAGAGGTGAGACATCTGCCCGGCGACAGGCCAGAGCTGGATTCTGATTGGTCCAGAATCGCTGTCCAAACACATTATTGTCGGAGCGTTTGGTACAGTTTGTGTCAGAGGAAAACAGAGAAAAACACTGGGATTTTAGTGATGATGAGACTTTCGACTCCGTGTATCAATCGTTCATTCATTTTTCAATATAAAACCAAAAATAAGAAAACGAAAAAACAACTATTTTCTTCATAGTTTGTCTCCAAAACCAAAGTTTTTGATTTTGTGTTTAAATGAATAATGGAAAAAACAGATAACGGACGATTCCGATTTCCGTGACTTAAACTGAGATGCCGAACTTTTGCACCACATACGGACTGAATCAGGACTAAACCAGGACTGAACCAGGACTAAAACAAGACTAAAACAGGACTAAAACAAGACTAAAACAAGACTAAAACAGGACTGAACAGGACTGAACCAGGACTAAAACAGGAATAAACTGGTCTCAGTCCCTGTCCCAGTCTCAGTCCGAGTCTCAGTCCTGGTCCTGGTCTGGTCCCAGTCTAAGTCCTGATCACCCGACAATCTACATAGGCACACCTCCGGGCCTGTCCCGACACTCCTGGTTTAGTCCTGGTTCAGTCCAGGTTTAGTCCTGGTTCAGTCCAGGTTTAGTCTTGGTTCAGTCTTGGTTTAGTCCTGGTTCAGTCAGTCTGGTTCAGTCTTGGTTAGTCCTGGTTCAGTCCTGGTTAGTCCTGGTTTAGTCCTGGTCAGGTTCAGTCCTGGTTCAGTCAGTTTAGTCCTGGTTCAGTCCTGGTTTAGTCCTGGGTCAGTCAGGTTTAGTCCTGGTCCTTGGTTTAGTCCTGGTTCAGTCCTGGTTCAGTCTTGGTTTAGTCCTGGTTCAGTCCTGGTTTAGTCCTGGTTCAGTCCAGGTTTAGTCCTGGTTCAGTCTTGATTTAGTCCTGGTTCAGTCTTGGTTTAGTCCTGGTTCAGTCCTGGTTTAGTCCTGGTTCAGTCCTGGTTTAGTCCTGGTTCAGTCCAGGTTTAGTCCTGGTTCAGTCCTGGTTCAGTCCAGGTTTAGTCCTGGTTCCTGGTTCCAGGTTTAGTCCTGGTCAGTCTGGTTTAGTCTGTTCAGTCCAGTTTAGTCCTGGTTCAGTCCTGGTTAGTCCTGGTTAGTCCTGGTTCAGTCTGGTCCTTTCAGTCCTGGTTCAGTCTTGGTTTAGTCCTGGTTCAGTCCTGGTTTAGTCCTGGTTCAGTCTGGTTTAGTCTGGTTCAGTCCTGTTTAGTCCTGGTCAGTCTGGTTTTAGTCCTGGTTCAGTCTTGGTTTAGTCCTGGTTCAGTCTTGGTTTAGTCCTGGTTCAGTCTTGGTTTAGTCCTGGTTCAGTCCAGTCTTGGTTTAGTCCTGGTTCAGTTCGGCATCGCAGTTTAGGTCACGGAAACAGGAAACGGCCGTTATCCGTTTTTTCCATTATTTGCTTAAACACAAAATTGAACAGTGAAAAAACAAATTGTTATCTGTTTTTTTCATTTTGGTTTTGGAAACAAATAACGAAGAAAACAGTTTTTTTTTTTGTTTTTCTTATTTTCAGTTTTATTTTGAAAAATGAATGAACGAATGACACACAGATTCTTTCTGCTCTTTTATGGAACCCGAATCTTTTGAATTGGTTTATTTCAAAGAGTCGATAACAACTGGCTCTTTTTATATTTAGTTATATGACCAAAGCCAACGTGAGAACTGTTTTACCTACAAACTAATCACAGAGAAATGACCGAAACTCACATCTGTTTAAAACTGTTCAGACTGACAGTGGGGGTGTGTTTACATGAAATTCAATAAAACTACCACTGTTTTATTAATTATTCAAAATCAAACTGTTAAAAACAAACTGTAAAATGCCAAATATGTGTTTTTGTGCACAGAGCTCTGATTCTGTGCTGATTCTTGTGTTGGTTCAGCTTTAATCAGCGTAAAAATGCACAAAAAGGAGAAAGAAAAAGATTAAAAAATGTATATTACAGTATAGTTATCATGGGCTGTTGTTTTGATATATATTAGTATATTTTTAGTATTTTTAGTATCTTTTAGCACTTTTTTCTTTGTGACTACACTATAATTTGCTTATTTAGAGGAAGTGAACTTGTTTATGTGGAGTAAAGACACATACATTTCTTTAAGTGTCATGATAATCTTAATACGTGTGTAACTTTTGTGTCCACAGTGTCTGAGCTGCAGCAGGCTCCGCCCCCTGCGCCGGTGTCAGCCCCGCCCCCTGCCCCAGGTGTAGCCCCGCCCCCCGTGCCCATCCCTCAGCCCCCGCCTCCCCCTCCTCCTCCCCCGCCCCCTCCACCCCTCCCCCGCCCTCCAGGTGTAACCCCATCAGGTGAGAGCGTCACACAAACAGTTTATTTATTAAAAAAACTAATATAACACAACATTAACTCTTTCCCCCATGAAGACGACATTTGACGACCCCCTGTTTCCTTAATGACGACTTTTGACTCCTCCGCCTGTATCACTAAAGACGAGATTTGACGACCTTTAGAAACGGCTCGGTTTTTCACATTTAAACAGAGACTGTGATCGGTAGGTCAGGGCCACTACAACCCACACTAGACTGACCAATAGGATTCAAGGATATGTTTTCGCCGATTTTTTCCGAAGTTAATCGAAGTAGTGACGATGGTAGCTTCCGGAAAAAACACAACACGAAACACAAGCGATGGAAAGATCGCGGCGCTGCGGCGCACAGTTTTAGAAATAATGAGGAGCGGACGTATTTTATGGATAAGTTTAGAGAAAGTGACTTTTATTGATTTTCAAAGTGATGATGAAGTTGATTATAAAGTGGAAAACAGCGATAGTGACGTATAACAGAATCACTACAGAAAAAAACACTTATGTGGAGCTCTGCGCACGAGAAAATAGCCAAGATGACAAATACTGGACACACACTGACGGGGAAGAGTTTTATTATTATATTATTATATTATAATAAGCTGAATGAGTTGAATAAATTAAATAAGTTGAATAAATTAAATAAGTTGAATAAGCTAAATGGAAAAAATGAATTAGGTGCACACAGGTGAACAACAGGTAAAAACAGGTGCACACTTGGCTTTACTGTATCTGGTGATATGAAATCTGTTTAAATACTTTGACAAAGTATATTTTTTAATTTTTTTATGAATATAGTACTCAGAACATGCAGATATCAGATGCTGAATGTAGTTTTTTTTGTTTTCGATTTTGCACCTGACCAGGTAAACTCTCATTTTCAGTGAGCTGTTATAAACCTGTAAATGAGTTGAATCACATTTAAACATCCAGAAATGAAGAGTTCAGAGTCTAAAGTTTCCAGAGATACAAATATGTCTGTGTTACAATTAAGTTCATGAGTGTAAAATGTATTTATATTCACTCGTGGAAGTGTGTTTTCTTTTGTGCAGTTGTGCTCTATGTTTAGCCCTAGTAACATATGTATGGGCTGTTCCTACTCGTCGTCCAGGGGGGAAAGAGTTAAAATTATAGTGTTTGTTTGCATAATAAATATTTTCACATAAAGTTACACCTTAAACCTCAGGAAACACACAGGAGTGAAAGTCAGAAGCCAGTTCTTTGGGTTTCCAGGTCACACCCAGGTCCCCGTAGTCCAGGTCAAGTCCTGAGTCCGAGTCGTCACGGCTCCGAGTCTGAGTCATTATCAACTAAACCCAAGTCTGAATCAGAAGTATTTTTATATCTGTTTTCACTGTGATCCGTCTTTACTTTAAACTCACTTTGAACTCAAAACTATCATTTATCCTAAACTGACAACATTTTGGAGGGACGTGCAGTGTGAAATTGAAAACTGTTTGGGGATCAGAATTATATTAGAGTCATGTATTGTGCTGTTGGGAATTTTTCCAAACGACTTAAGAGCAAATAGCCATTTTCATTTGCTGAAAATTTTACTTTTAATTGCCAAAAAAAAAAATGATAACGGTCTCCTGGCTCAGGCCGCTGCCCACGACAATTACCCACAGGAAAAATAAAATAAAGGATGTGTATCATATGGAGCAAATAACTGCAAGGTTACAAATGAAGACAGATTTATTCATGGACAAATGGTCTTCAGTTCAGGCCGATATTTCAAAAGGATGACGATCTTTTGTAGGATTTTTTCTGCTATGTTGTAGTGTGTGTGTGTGTATATTATGAATGATAAAAGAGGAGACAGTGTGTATGACTGTATCTATACTGTAACTTTACTGTCATTTTACTTGTATTGCTTCTTTACTGCTGTTTCATAATTATGTGGCTTGCACCAAAATAATTTAATAAAAATAAGTTTAAAAAAAACAACAACTATCTTTTAAAACGGTCTTAGTCCTTGGTCTATGATTCCAAGTCTGTCCTGTACCTCAGGTTGTGTCACAAATTGGAGGGGAGTTGGAAAAGTCAGAGTGCAGGACTCTGGTTCAATGTGCCGCTGGAGCAGTGCACCTGAGTTTTATATATTTAACAATGAATGAACCGTGACAGAGTTTGTTCTAAAGTCTGGTCTGTTTCCTGTAGTTCTCTGATCGCCATCATGAGGAAATCCTCCAAAGGATCCAAGTCCAGTGTGAAGACGGAGCAGCCCCAAGGAGAGACAGGTAGGACTGTCTGTAAATCTGAACAGAAGAAATACAACTCTAGAAATCATGCTTTACGAGGCCCACAGTTTTACAATAAACTGGAGGTGTGACTGAATCAACGTGAACAATAAAATAAAAAGGTGAATCCACTGGAGGTTCAGATATGTCAGTTTTAGACTTGACTTCAACCTATTTTTGCCCAGACCTAGTAGTTTGTCTCTAGTCCAGTAAGTCCAGTGAGCCAAAAATGTATAAAATTCACCTAAAAACTCAAGAAAAACACAAAAAGGATTTAAAGAGCACATTTTCAGGAGCCTGTGATCAGTCCAGGTGTTTATGGTTCTGTTTAGGAGTGAGATTTTCAACATAAAGGTGAAAGAGCCTAACTAAAGACTAAAAACTGCTGGCTAAACGCAGATTAAAGTCTAATTTGAGTAACAGAGCTTCAGACAGAGCAGTGCTTTCAGTTAGTGTCACACCCTCAGCGAGTGTGGTGTGTTCCTGTGTTCCAGCAGCGGAGGGCGTGGACGAGGTGAAGGTGAAGGCGGTGAACGAGATGATGGAGAGGATCAAACACGGCGTGGTGCTGCGTCCGGTCAAAGCTCCGGACACGAAGGTCAGTGCGTCCTCCTGGAACGGACAAGAACTCTGCCTCAAACTCTGCCTCAAACTCTGCCTCACTAGCTGTTTTCAGGCCGGTCAAAATGGTGCCAGCGCTGGTTCCCGCACCAGTTTCACTTGAAACCAAAGTTCTCACCGATGAACGACCCGCGTTCAAACTATTTAGGATTTTTTATTGAAGTGAAATACAGTGACAGTCCTTTTTCAAATGTTGTGCATGAAACCGTCCTCCTCCACAGCCTCAGTAGAAACACCTCCTCCCGCCTCCTGACTCTAGAAATCACGTGTGTTTACAGTCAGAATTACTGTTGGAGTTTCCTGTCTAGAAATATTTTAGCGACCGACGCGTCCGTTTTTAGACCCTTCGTCTGCTTCAGTCGCGCCATCGCTGGAAGGAATCACCAAGAATCACCTCAGTTTGTCTTCGCTCCTTTTCTCCTTCTCGTCTTCTTTCGTCGACCTCAAAAACGGACTTTCTTTTACGGCGAACTGGTCGTGGATTCTCATCCGCCGTCGCGACAAACTTTGTGCGAATTGCAAGGAACCGACAGTTTGAAAAAGCCCCTGAGAACCGCTGTATAAACCACGTAATCCCCGCGCGCCGACGAGTCAGTTACACTAGAAACGTAGGGAGTTTGATTGACGACCTCACAGCCAATAGATAAAGAGGAAGCCTTGTTTTCTATTGGCTGATGTTTATCTGGATGGATTTTCATTCTTTTTTTTTTTTGGTCATCATAATTACAAGGCTGCTGCGTCTCTGTAATTGTATTTTAAACTTTCAAACACAATTTGAAACAAAAATAATAATCCTCCATACAACCTGAACCCATGACGAGTCATCGGCAGAGGGTTTGGATTTACCACCAAATAAAAACGAGGCCATACGAAAACAGACGTCACAGGGAGGAAAATAACAATCATGGATGGCGTCATCAACACCAGTGAGCATTTGTACTTATACAAGTCATTATTTATGTGCACCGAGCTCTGCCACAACATCGATCTGCTGTGTAAAGTTTTACTTTTTGGTTCCCGAACGCTTTGATTTCCGGCGTGAACACGTGAGTCGTTCAAGATTAGATGCGAGAACAAGCACCGGCACGGTTCTGTGTCGGTCTGAAAACGCCTTCTGTGGTCAAACTCTGCCTCACTGTGGTCAAATGCTGAGAAAAGATGACGTAAATATAATTCAACAAGGTCAACCATTCACATGTTTGAGTAATTCTTTATTATTCGTCTGTATCTGCAAAGCTCAAAACGCTCTGTTCCACCTCGTGATTTCATGTAGAGAACAGGTGTCAAACATAAGGCCCGGGGGCCAGATCCGGCCCTCCAAGACCTTTAATGTGGCCCTTGGGTGATTTTCTACTAAAATATTTTAATTATATTTTCTATTAAAAAATCTTGTTAATTTTCTGTGGTGTTTATCACAGCAGCGTCTCCAGCGTCTCTGTACGTGGCCCCTCCCACCAGAGCAGCACAAATGAAGACTTGTCTCTTTCCAAACGCTCTTAAAGGACGATCGTTTTGACTGTTGACCGTGACACCCTCATCAGAAAAATGTCAAAAATGAGAAAAGTGGAGCCGAGTGCAGGATTTTACAAGAAAAATTGACTTATTCCTGTTTACAGACAAGTTCATGTTAAAACATTGTGTTGAAATGGAATTTTTCTTAAAGTTTCAGGTTGTTCATAATATTATATTATAATACGAAAGAGTTCATCAATTTAAAAAAAATTCTGTAATAGATTTGTGTTTCTCTGCACAAATATTTGAACATATTGTTATTTTTGGGGTTTATATGACATGAGTTTTCTGATCCGGTCCCTTTGGGATCAAAGTCGGTTGGATACGACCCCCGGAACAAAATGAGTTCGACGACCCTGATGTAGAGGAAAGTGTGTGGAGTTTAAAAACACAGTGGAGCACATCCTGTATCGCTGCATCACAATGTGGAACAGAGTGTTTTCTGTCTGAGAGAAGAACTCAGCCTAAATATGCATCATTATTTTCATTTTAAGCAGCCTAGTTTAAAGCTGACAAGAGTTCATGTCTGATTGGTCGTTTGTGTTTCTTCCTGTCTCCCTGTTGCTCCTCAGAGGACGACTGCAGCCAAAGTGAGTTTACTGACTTTTATTTATGCATGTGTCTTCCTCTGGTTTTGTCCTGTGTGTCTCTCGAGTGGACTCTAAAGTGCTGCTTGTGTTTATGTGTGTGTTTGTGTGTGATATTGACTTCACATCAGTCTGTGCAGTGACAGCTGACGTTACCAGACTGTGTGTCTGTGCGCTGACTGCTGACGGCTTTTCATTGATTTTACACTTTATTTCAATCCTTGACATTAGAAAAACAGCTCACGCAAAATCTTAAAATCAATCTGAGCTTTTCCTAAACAAAATTTAATCTCAACGACACTCGGTTTTACATTCAAAACTGATCGATCATCTCCCAAAAGCAAATTTAACCATCAAAACCATAAACTGTATAAAGAAGTGTGTATATCTGTGTGGAGTCTCACAGTTTGTTTTCACTGCTGAGAACTTCTAGTGCCTCCGCTCAATTTCATTTTTCTCCAGGGACTAGATCAGGAATCAAAATACACTAGACGTTTTGCAAGAACCCCAGAAGTTATAGACGGCACACCGACCAATCAGAGAAGAGCAGTGAAGTCATGACGTTAAACTGGTGGCGTCGGTCTGTGTCTCTTTTGTGGAACAGCACAACAGTAAACAAAACGTGGAGCTGGATGTAGACGAAGAATCCGTGTGTCGTTCGTTCATTTGTTTTTCAAAATAAAAACAAAAATAAGAAAAAGAAAAAACAACAACAGTTTTCTTCATTATTTGTCTCCAAATCCAAAATGAAAAAACAGATAATGATTTGTTTTTTCAGTTTTTGATTTTGTGTTTAAATGAAAAATGGAAAAAAACGGATAACGACCGTTTACCGTTTACGTGACTTAAACTGTGATGTCAGACTAAACCAGGACTAAACAAAGACTAAACCAGGACTAAACAAAGACTAAACCAGGACTAAACAAAGACTAAACCAGGACTAAACAAAGACTAAACCAGGACTAAACAAAGACTAAACCAGGACTAAACAAAGACTAAACCAGGACTAAACAAAGACTAAACCAGGATGAACCCGGTCTCAGTCCCGGTCTCAGTCCCAGTCCCAATCACAGTCTGGTCCCAGCCTCAGTCCCGGTCCTGGTCTCAGTCCCAGTCTGATTCCGGTCTGGTCCCAGACCTGGTTTAGTCCTGTTTCCGTCCGTATGTGGTGCAAAAATCCGGCATTGCAGTTTAAGTCACAGAAACGGGAAAAGGACGTTATCCGTTTTTTCCATTATTCGTTTAAACACAAAATCAAAAAAATGAAAAAACAAATCATTATCTGTTTTTTCATTTTGGTTTTGGAGACAAATAATGAAGAAAATAGTTGTTTTTTCGTTTTCTTATTTTTGGTTTTATATTGAAAAAACGAATGAGCGAATGTTACACGGATTACGAAGACAGACATTCTGTGTTGGCAACGATTCTTGAGATCGAGGATTTAAAGCCGGAACAAAGAGAATGTTTGGTGAATTTGATCAAGGGGAAAGACGTTATTGTCCTTCTTCCTACAGGATTTAGCGCATTACAAACGTCACGACCAAACAGCAGCAATTGGTTAATTAAAAAAAGTACCTGACTACTGTCGAGCGAACGAACCCTAATGCTGCGAGGTCAGACGGTTTCTACGAAGTGAAACCATCTGATGAATCACATTGGTGAATTACATTTTTGGTGCTCCCAGATTGTAGATTTTTGCCATTCTGTTTCTGGGTTTCTATACTGAAAGTGACAAAGTTTGGGCCAATGTCCTTCAGCACGTGAGACCAGACACAGACCTGTAACGTTGGAAAAACGAGGAGAATTCACTGATCATGTGTTTGTGGATGAGAGTTGTGTCAAAAGTTCTGATTAAAAGTCTGAGAACTAAACCAAGATTCAAAAACTGTGCTAAAATCATGAAATTTTTTTTTTAAATAGATCAATATTATAACATGTCCTCTAACAATATGCCCGACTCAAACCAAATCCACACACTATTTAAATGGCATATCCATAGAAACAAGCTGTACATGGGGCCCGGTCAAGCAGAAGTAAACAACAAGGCCAAAAATTCAAGTTAATGCGTCTGATATAAAAATGTATTGAACAGATACATATGTACTCTAGTTTATGAAACTGTTCACCTTTTTTCTGTATCATTTTTGGTTCTAAAGTTCCATATGTTTTAAACAGACCATGTATGAAACATGGAACAAAAATTATTTCCCAAATTTCAAAGACCTGAAAAATCATGTCAAATAAATGGATGTATTTCATCATATCTTGTGTTATTCCATCTTTGAACTGTTGATGAAGGTACATGATTTTTCAAAAAAAAATATTTCAAATGATACAAATTTGCTTGGAAGGACTGACATATTTTATAGAAATAGTTTCCTTTCATTTTGAAGTAATATTAAAGTTTTCAGAAGAAAAAAGCAACAAATGATGTAAAATCCTGCACCTTCTACTTGTTTGTACAATTTTCCCTCCGTTACTTTTCCCTCTGTTACCATGACCTTTCTTAATAAAAAATCTTATGAGTCAAAAAGTAAGAGGTTTTTCAACCTAATCTTGTACCATATGGTAGAAAACTATATGAAGCAAATATTCAAACCAGTTTGTTAAGGATATGTAAGTGAGAACCAAGAGTTATCACTGTTTGGATTTATTGTCCAAAAAGTGCTGCATATTTCATTCCCTCCGTTACCGACATGAGTTTTTTAATTTTTTGTCAACAACTTGAAAGAATATCACAGGTTTAACTTGACCCTGTTGGAGTGTAACTCTTTCCTACATTCTGATACTTTACTTATTTCAATAGTTCCCTCTAGTTTCTGAATAAGAGACATTTGAATGTCAAAAATCTGACCCTGTTTCCCTCCGTTACCACTTGACCGGACCCAGATGTGAGCTTGTCTTGACTGTTTGTTGTTTTTTTCAGGCTCTTCCAGTGAGTGAGGAGAAGCAGGAAAGCGCCATGGAGGAGCTTAAAGGCATCCTGGTAACTTTTTATTTATTTATTGTTTTTAAATCAGACCTGTTCTGCACAATCCACTTTCCAGAGCCATGTTATTGTTGTTTCCTCTCTTCGTTTACTCTCTGGAGTGATTCGTGCGTGTTTGAGTCATCGTTTATTCGTCCCGTTTTGTTTTTGTCCAGGAGACGGTGAAGCGCAGTCCCAGTCGAGGCTCTCAGGACTCGGCCTCGTCTCCTCAGCCCAAGAAGGACTCGGAGCTGGAACTGATCCTGAGACGGAGGAGGAACAAGGCTGGAGAGTCTGGAGGTACCAGAGGGAGAGAGGAGAGGGGTTTGCTTTGTAGGGACGGGCGATATATCGATTCCAGTATCAGTTTCGGCTAATATAATAATTCTCTGCTGATATTTGAGGCAGATTTTTTGCAAAAAAGTTCAAAGAATTAATTTAAAGAAAGTTCCTGTTTAAAGTGCATGGTGTAGCTTTTCTGGAGGAGGGTCCGTCAAACGCTTTTCTCCATGGAGATGTTATTTCTTTGTCTGGAATGTTTCACAGTATGGCATTAAACCTCCTAGGACCAGAACTCTTGCACGGCTTTATTGATTTCTCTTTGTTATTTGGGCTGATGAGTGTAAATATATAATGTTTTTATATATTTTTTATATTATTATTATTATTATTATTATTATTATAACATCAATTTTATTTTTTATTATTATTATATGTCCACATATGATATATAAAACGTTCATTTTATATTTTAATAATTTTGATGGAGCACAATAAAGTCACAGTTGGATAATGATTTGCAAAAAAAAAATTAATTAATTAAGTAATTAATTATTGCCTGAAAAACCCAAAATGTGTTGGACATATATATTCACATATGTAGATCCCAGGTCCTAGGAGACTACACCTTTCTATCTTCACGGAGACCAAACTAGACCAAGTTACAGGTCAGATCTGTGGAGAGGCGACGCCGCTCACAGTCAGAATGTCTGTTTTTCTAGGTGTTTTTGAGCTATAAAACCACCTGTAACTGAATAAAAGAGTAAAGACAAGCTGTTTAATGTCATAGTTTGGAATATTTCAGGCAGAGCAATGACGTATCCATAGAAACAAACAGGTGACAGACCCACAACCAGGAAGTTACATAGTGCACCTTTTAAGTACAGTACTCTACTACCTTTTCTTTGTTACCGTTGTCCACTGAGTCTAAAAAAGTGGACTGAGGAAGTTTGACGTCACCCACAGTGTTCGGCTTCAGTCAAATGAAGCTCATCAAGGCTGCGGTTATAGAAGCGAATTCTGAGCCAGATCCAGAATAAGAACAGGAATTTATTTACAGACAAAATAGCGAAATAAAAACGCCAAGATCATGTAGGGCGGGTTAATACAAACATTTTAAGACCAAAATGACGATGCTCAAAGCAGCAGATACAGAGAGAGCGACGAACTTTTTCGATGTAAAGTCAGATGGATCCAGAGTCGATGGAACCAGAAGTGCCGCTATGCTCACGTCCTGTTTGGAACATTAACTCTGTCCATTTATACAAACAGTCTATGGTCTAAGTCTGGTTTTGTCTTGGTGCAGACGAGCGCGAGCCGAACCACGTCTCGTCCTCGGACAGCCCGACCGGCCGCAGGACCAGCTCGGACTCCGCCTCTCTGGGACTGACCTCGGACCAGACCGGACCTGCCCTGAACCTGGAGCGCCGGGGGTCTGGACCCGGACCCATCGTGCCCCGGAGGAAGAGCTCGGACTGCGGAGGAGGAGCCAGAAGAGAGTCCTGCGGCTCCGTGTCTGAGAGTCCGGTCACCAACGGCGCCATCCACAGGTACGGAGGAGTAATGACGAGGAACGAGTGTTTATTTTGGTGTAATTGATACGGTGCAGTGACATCGCGCTGGGGGTGTTTTTCTGGGTATTTCTGTGTTCATCGGTTACCATGGCGACACATTTCACAGATAAGCAATAACTAACAAAAAAGTTTAGATGAATACTCAAGAAAAAATACAAAAGGGATTAAAACAACAGATTTTCAGGAGCCTGTGATTCGTACGATCGTTCATGGTCCTGTTTAGCGCCATCCACAGGTCTGGAGGTGGAACAAGTGTTTGGTTTCGTTTGGTGTAATTTAACTTCTTAGGTTCTTTTTAAAGACAATGCAGTAAAGTGTGTTTACCTTGTTGACATGTTTCGGCTGCTGCATCTTCAGAACTGTCCCCGGTGTTGGTGTTGACGTGTCGTATATCAGCTGTTGTTACTTCCTGTGGACGTGGTCAGACCTGATGGACCTGCAGGTCGCTCAGACTGACCACGCCTCCCGTCGCCCGGTGTCTCTGGAGGAGGGTGTCCCAGGTGTGTGAAAGGAGGAACGCGCCGTCATCACGGTTAATGCTGTCCGTGCCTCGTTTCCTGATTTCAATGGCCTGACGTTAGGGAGACTCACCAGAACACAAAAAGGTAAAGCAGAACAGGAAAACCTAAAATCCGCCATATCAGACACTGTAAAAGGAACAACTACATTATGGATCGGGACGGGGCTCGGGTCATTGGATCGGAAAACAACAAGTTCAAACACTGGATCAAGGAGGACGATGAAATCAGGAAACGAGGCACGGATAGCATTAACCGTGATGACGGCGCGTTCCTCCTTTCACACACCTGGGACACCCTCCTCCAGAGACACCGGGCGACGGGAGGCGTGGTCAGTCTGAGCGACCTGCAGGTCCATCAGGTCTGACCACGTCCACAGGAAGTAACAACAGCTGATATACGACACGTCAACACCAACACCGGGGACAGTTCTGAAGATGCAGCAGCCGAAACATGTCAACAAGGTAAACACACTTTACTGCATTGTCTTTAAAAAGAACCTAAGAAGTTAAATTATACAAGAAGACAAAATGAACATCATTGGCTTCGTATGGTGTAATTTAAGGACGCACTGATCCAAGTTTTTCAGTTCTGATACCGATTCCGATACTTTAGCTTTAAGTACGTGCTGATACCTGATATCATCCCGCACCAGAGCAGAGACTGAAAACAGCATTTATTCTTTTAAAACAAACATCAAATAAGACAAAACTGATCCAAGTGTGTTGTCGTGTAGCTGTTATTGTATCTGTGAAGTTATGTCTTTGTGTAAATGAAAATTCAGACTTTCTGTGGACAATACAGTCAGTGAACAGCCTCATTAAATCCATGTATGTCCAACCACGCAGGGCTGGGTTTTTATTCTAATCAATTTGATCAATTTGTGTTGTTAATAGTCGTGATTTTGAAAAATAGCTAAATTGTCAAATCGAGGATTATGAAACAGGTTAAATTAGACATTTATACAGATTATTTCTCAAATAAAAGCGTATGACAAGAATGAAAACATAAAGAGCTTCTGACGTTTGAAAGACGTCCAAATCGTTATTACATTTTTTGCTGATATTGGCCCTACAGCGCTACAGTTACGAGATGGTCTGAACTAGGGATGGGCATGATTAGTCGAATAATCGATAATTGATCATTAACAATTTCATCAATTACGTTAATTTTAATCGACAAACTGAATGTAGGTTGTTGTGTGTATCGTGACCAAACAGGTGTGTACATGTGTCTCTGCATCAGAAGGAGCGAGACACAAACAGTGGGTCAGTCTGAAACGAACCGAAGCACAAATGTGGATTTAACGATGATTTGTACAAGAAATTCCACACTTTCCGTTGCGTTGGGACAAGTGTGAGTCCATGTGCACAGTGTATAAAGCAGCACATATGTTTCTGTGTCCAGTGGGAAAAAGTTTTACCAGGTGAGAGTCGCTCAATGTGGATGACGAGGCCCCGCCCCCCTCCCCCCGTACGCTGTCCTGGTTTTGACAAACGCAAATCTGGTCACACTGACCTGTATTCACCTGAGTCACATCAGCGACACAAGAGCTGTTTTTTTTTTCTTCACTTAGTTTATGTAAATTAGTGATGTGGTTTTAAGTTTCATTTCTGTGAGAGTTGCACAAAACTGAATTAAACACATTATAATGTCAAACAGCTGATGTGGCTCTAGAGTCGTTATGTTTATATGTCGTAAAGTTGAATTTATTTATGTAGATTAGTGCAGATAGTAATAATAATGATGATCATTTTAATGTAAAAACATTAATGATTAATCGATAATCGATCGTTAATTCTTCCGACGATCGATTAAGAAAATTTAATCGAATATCCATCCCTAGTCTGAACCGATATTTGGTCACGATATCTGATTCCACTCATTTTCCGCATCTGCACCGATATCCTGTACACCAATAACACTTGTTTTTCTGTTTATGTGTTTGTCTGTGTATCTGTTTGTTTATTTCTATATCTGTTAATCTTTATGTTTATCTGTTAATATTTTTGTTTATTTGTTTATCTGTTTCTTTTGTTTATTTATCTGTTTGTTTGTTTATATGTTTATCTTGTTTTTTGTTTGTTTATCTTATTTTTTTAATTGTTGATTTTTGTTTATCTGTTTATTTTGCTTATTTATTTATCTCTTTGCTTGTTTATTTGTTTATCTTTTTGTTTATTTTTTTTGTTTATCTTGTTTATTTAATTGTTTATCTTTTGTTTATTTATTTGTGTATCTGTGTGTTTGTTTGCACAGTGGACCAGAGGAGGACCAGGCTCGGCTCAGGTCCCGGCTCAGGTCTCGGCTCAGGTCCCGGCTCAGGTCCCGGCTCAGGTCCAGACCAACGGCGTGGACCACAGTGAGGACTCAGGACTCAGGGACTCAGGGACAGTCCAGGGAGCTGAGTCCTAGTCCGGTCCGACACGAGATCTCTGCAAAAAAACAAAACAAAACAAAAAAACAAACAAACACCTATTTATCCAAATCTCCAAATACTAATATATGAAACTGAGAAACTAATGAAACTATAGCAAATGGCCGCGATTTGCCTTTAACATTTCATAAACGAGACGAAATATTCACCTTTAAATATACGAGACGCCAACATTAATAACAGCTCGTTTAAATATAAAACAATCAGGTCATTTCTATTCACACGTCATGAACTTTTAGGGAAAAAAAAGAAGATTAGAGTCACTGTAAAAGATCCAATTTGGCAGATAAAAGACAAAAAACACAAGAAAATTTGATGTTAACTTGATATGAATTGTTGAATTTCTAAATATTTTAACAATCTGGAGGCAGCTGGAGGCAAAAGTGAAGCGGAACATTATGTGATTTCAATGGGAAAACTGGGATTCACTTCAGAAAACACAAAATATGAAAAATCCAGGGCAATTTGACAAATGAAAACCACTCAGATCCATGTGAGCCAAATCAGAGTCCAGATTAAAAACATTTACATTTGTGTTTAATGTTATTTTAAATCAGATTTTGGTTACGTTTACACATCGCCGGGTATTTTGAGAAACGATTATTTCCCTCCCTCCGTTTTCCAAATCGTTTTCAAAAATGTTTTTGTTTACATCGACCCGCATAAATCCTCCATCGTCATAACTACACCGAGTCTCTGGGCGGCGCCTGGATTAGATTCAAGCCTGTAGTATTTATTTCATTGCAGTTGTAAGGATTACACAAAAATACCTTGAAAAACATGCATTAGTGAGCGGGCTCGCCTCTCCACAGATCTGATAAAGAAGTGGTAAAATCACTGACCTATGAGCCCTTGTTCACCTCTGCTCATGGATACGAAACATCAGCTGTGTTTGCACCAGAAGAAACAGATGAGCTGAAGCGGGGGGTGGGGTTCACTGCCTCCACCTGAGAAGCGGCAGTAGCTCAGGTGGTTAAGCATTCGCCCACTGGTCTGAAGGTTGGTGGTTTGATTCCAGCTCTCGACATAAACATCACAGGTTGAGCGGTCAGACCCACTGACCCACAGGTTGCTGGTGTGATTCCAGCTCCCACAGATGAATACTGCTGTTGTGTCCTTGGGCAAGACACTTAACCCACCTTGCCCACAGTGTCTGTGTGAATGGGTGAGTGGTTCCTTGTTGTAAAGTGCTGTGAGTGCCTTGAAGGTGGAAAAGCACTATAGAAAAATGTGACCATTTACCAAGCTTTTTCCACGGGAAAAAAAACCACGTGCGAGGACGAACTGTTCAGAGCAACATAGAACTAGAAAAGCAGTCAGAGAGCGCAGACCTCCGCCAAGGACCACCCCCATTTTTATATAAATTGTGATAAAATCAGTCTTCTGGATCAGATCCGGATCAGCCTTTGGAATATGAAAGAGGATCCCATTGTCCATCCCTGAGTCAAGTTTCATGGGGTTTGGTCAATAATTAACCCAGATATTGAGAAACTAAATTCTTGGCCCCATTTACCACAATGTTAACTAAAATTTCAAAGTGATACAGAATCCAGGATTTCTTCTGGATCACCCCCAAAATGAAATCAGTTCTTCCTTTTCACATTTCCAACAAATCCTGAAAATTTCATCAAAATCGGTCCATAACTTTTTGAGTTATGTTGCTAACAGACAAACAAACAAACAAACAAACGCCGGCAAAAACATAACCTCCTTGGCGGAGGTAATGAACCGGGGATTCACGGATTCATGCTTCTGTCCGAATGCTGCACCACCTCAGAACCAGCCGTGGTCGAGCGCAGGGGACCGGAGCAGCCCGCCCAGACCTGTGGTCCACAGATCATTCTCACTTTCCCCACACGGAACCAGCGCACAGATGACGGCACTGAAGCACTCAGACCCAGACCTTCGCACGCTGGTCTTGCTCGCCGACGTCTGTAACCAGGACATGGAGGATGGAGCCTCCGGACCATCTGACCAACACTGGACCCCCAGCCCCGTCTTGAGGGGCTGTGCACTACAGTGATGCTCCCTGTGTGTTTAGCACTGTTACCCGAACTCAGTGCTTCTTCCTCCTGAGTTTGTACAAAGTTCTACATGCTGCTGTTTTATGAGTTCGTGGTGAGAAGTTGAGATGAGGACGGCCCGCGGTGTTAACGGGGAACAGAGATTCCTTTCGCAGTTGGAGGAACATTGGGAACATCGGTCTGACCCTGTCCAGGTCCGTATGGGACGGCGTCTGGACTATATCTATATATTTTTTAACAAAATTTTAGCCCCCTCAAAATTTTCCTTTTAAATTCATAAAGTCAGCTTCAGTTTTGCCTCCATTTTGCCTCATTCCAGAATTTTGCAGCAGGTTAAAACGGTTTAGTCTGTTTTAAGGAAGAACGTAACAAATTCTCAAATAATTCACCAAAATGTTTCTGACCAGTTCTGTGTTCTATGTTCTGATTTCTCGTTTCGCAGTGACCCTGATCCTCTTTTCATATTTAAAAAAACAGTGTTTCATGAACCATCTGATTCACTTGTGTCACAGTCGACTTAAAACAATCAGCTTTTCACTAAAAGAACTAATAAAATGCATCTGATATTATAATAATATATGCAGTCAAAGTAAAGTTACGAGAGAACAAGACCAGTCAAAAGTTTTTTGTGTACATTTCTTCTTTATTTACATGATTCTTAATGTTGTAGATTCATACAGAAGACACAAAAACTATGAATGGACAAGGGGGACCGTCTGCGGCACAAATTACGCATGATAAACTGACATTCATCATTTGTATATTTTACTTTACTGTCATATTTAGTTTGCTGGACTGTCCGCCTACTCCCGTGTTGTGTTGTCCCGCTCCCGCCCGCGATGAGCTTTCAAAATGTGTCCCATCGGATCCCGCAGGGCTTTAAGACACGGCTCAAAACTGGGACTGTCCCGGGTAAATATCTAGATAACATCTGGTCACCCGACTCTAAACTAGTTTTATCCATCCATCCATCCATCCATCCATTTTCGTCCGCTTATCCGGGGCCGGGTCGCGGGGGCAGCAGTCTAAGCAGGGACTCCCAGACTTCCTTCAACCCAGACACGTCCTCCAGCTCCTCCGGGGGACCCCGAGGCGTTCCCAGGCCAGCCGAGAGACATGGTCCCTCCAGCGTGTCCCGAGGGAGGCGCCCAGGAGGCATCCGGAACAGATGCCCGAGCCACCTCAACTGGCTCCTCTCGACGTAGAGGAGCAGCGGCTCTACTCCGAGCTCCTCCCGTGTGACTGAGCTCCTCACCCTATCTCTAAGGGGAGACGCCCAGCCACCCTACGGAGGAAACCCATTTCGAGCGCTTGTATCCGCGATCTCGTCCTTTCGGTCACTACCCAGAGCTCATGACCATAGGTGAGAGTAGAAACGAAGACTGACCGGTAAATCGAGAGCTTCGCCTTTTGACTCAGCTCCTCTTCACCACAACGGTCCGATACAGCGACCGCATCACTGCACCGATCCGCCTGTCAATCTCACGTTCCGTCCTTCCCTCACTCGTGAACAAGTCCCCGAGATACTTGAACTCCTCCACTTGAGGCAAAGACTCCCCACCCAGTAAACTAGTTTTAGATTTTTACAAAACCCGACTGTGAAAAGTGAAAACCGACATTCACCAACTGTTCAATCAGGAAACTCACGGGAAATCATTCAAGTTATTCCATATCCATCATATATCTGGTGTCTTCTGTTTGTATCTAAAACGTAGAAAGTTGTAAACATAAAGAAAAAAACACAACCACCTCATTAACAAATTCTGTAATAAATTTTATAATGAGGTGAGTTCAGATTTTGACTGGTCGTGTACGTTTTCAAAGCAATAGTGGCCGGTTTGGAGCGAACGTTTGTGCGTTTTCTGAAACACATTTGGAGATTTGTGGACTGGCTTCACTTTTTTGCACTTCCTCCTCAGAAAAAAACGACTTAAATTGTTTGTATTGTCTCAGTTCGATTCACCGTGTTTGTGCTCTGAGCCTTCACCTGTGCTTCTGTCACCGACTCTTTAACCTTTAAAATGTCGCAGGTTTACTCAGTTTAACGCAGAAGTCAAGACACGTCAGGTTTGGTTGTTGTGGAAATGAATAGGCTCTGTGCACAGCTAGCTCGCTCACTGCTTTTATTATTATTATTATTTTTTTTTTATTTTTTTTTTAGCTTGCTCACTGCTTTTTTTATTTATTTATTTATTTATTTTTTTAGTTATTATTATTATTTTTTGGCTCGCTCACTGTTTAATAATTTTTTTAAATTTTTTTTTTAGCTTGTTCACTGCTTTTTTAAAATTAATTTATTTTTTAAGTATTTTTTTTTAGCTCGTTCAGTGCTTTTTTAAATTTATTTATTTATTTTTTTAGTTATTATTATTATTTTTTAGCTCGCTCACTGTTTAATTATTTTTTTTAATTATTTTTTTTTACCTTGCTCACTGCTTTTTTTAAATTAATTTATTTTTTAAGTATTTTTTTTTAGCTCACTCAGTGCTTTTTTTATTTATTTATTTTTTTTTATTATTATTTTTTTTTAGCTCGCTCACTGTTTAATTTTTTTTTTTTTTTAGCTTGCTCACTGCTTTTTTATTTGTTTATTTATTATTATTATTATTATTATTTTTAGCTCGCTCACTGCTTCAAAACTAACACTCACTTTATTAAAACCGTAAAAAACATGAAGTTAAAAAAACATATTAAAATTCAAATTCATTAAAATAAAGACTACTGCTACTTAAATTAGTTTTTTTTATGTGTAGAAAACTTCAGTTTGTGGCGTTGTTTTAATATTTATTATGCCTCAAAATTAGCATTAGCATTAGCGTTAGCATTAGCATTAGCACTGAGACGTAAACATCGCCCTTTCTAAAAACAGAAGTGTTCGTTTAGTGTTGGAAGAAGTACAAAAGTAAAAGTATCTCATAAAAAATAGACTTAAGTAATAGTATTAAAGTAGTTGA